AATAACGTTTCAGAGAAAGAAAAATATTGCAAGAAGTAGCAACAAGTTGGTTTTAAAAAAAAAAGTAACATTTTAAAAAGGAAGACCAAGAAAGAAAAGGAAAAAAAATCATCATCTTTTATAGAGGTAAATATCACCCACCCACTCTACTCCATTATCTCCTTAAGCTCTTGCACAGCAACGCCTCTTCCAGGTAAATGATCTTTTTTTACTCTCAATTTTATTCAGCATCGATGATATATAAATGCTTTTCATTTCTATTGAAAGTTGCTGTGCACCCATGACTTTGAACGTTCATATATTAATTTTTTACGGTAAAGTCTAATCATTTTTCTATAAAAATATGTAAAAGAATGAAAAAGTTGGTTTAAATTTGATGTTTTGTCTATACTCCATCCTCACCTTCATTTGTACACGTTAAATATGTTGGATGATTATTTTAGCTTTTCAAATTTCTATCTAAACACTCCTTGTTTTGTCATCCTTTTCATGCATGTTTCAATTCTTTTTTTCTTTTTTTTTTCTCTTTTCAAAAATATACATTATTATTAGGTATTTAGGTACCATTGTTAAAATATATTTTAGTTGTTGTTAATTTTATACCTAAGTTTATTATATTTCTTTTAACGTTTTATTTGAACATTTATTTTGTAATATAAATTTAGACATTTTATTGTGTCTATAATAATAAAATAATAATTTTTTAATGTATCATCTCATGTTTTATTGTTACTTAGTAATTGAATTTTAATATATTTTTATTCTTTATATATTTTTTGAGTAATTATTATTATTATTATATGAGATAGATATAAATGAATTGAAGAATCAAATTATATTATATATATATTATTTTATTTTTCATTTATTTATATGTATGATATCGATATAATTTCATGTAAATTTGTGTGTTATTCTTTTCTATTATTATGCTAAATTATTAAAAAAAATTATTATAACAAAAATTTATCTAAATTAAACAAGTAGATAATAGTACCAATTTATAACATTAACGTGTAGCTATTCTACCGTCATGTGTTATAACTTGATAAAATCTTTGTATACCAATGTTACCTTAAGTTTTACTCAATATTAACATATTAAAAATCTTATCTGATTTTTAAAGTAATCAATTTTATCATTATTATTTTTATTAATTAAAATCTATCATCTATAACATTCTTATTATATTAGTGCAACGATTTATAGTGTTATTGTGTAGCGTCTCTACCTTTATATACCTTATTGTTAAGACTTTTGTGTACCAACGTTATTTTAGGTCCCACGCGATATAAATTTTTTAAATAAAATTTAATCTTTCATTAAATAACTTTTTTCTTTAATCAATTTAGATATATTTATTCTTTTCATTAAATGGAATTAATTTCGTATTATATTTTTTTTAAAGTCATATTTTAACTAATAATCTCTTTACTTATTTATACAAATTTTTACATCTAATTTACATTATCTTCGATTATTCAATAAATTATAAGAGATTTATGTATAGCTTACAATATCTTAGATTCTCTTTCAACATTAATTATAATCAAAATTCAAATTCAAATACTTCATTTATGAATAAAATATTTTTAATGATTTGCAATATAGTTGTGTGATCTTCCTCCACTTTTTGTATTGTTTCTCTTAGGGTACGTGTATAACTACGTTATCTTATATTTTAAATATTATAATTTATGAAAATAATATTAATTTTAAAATAAATTTTCTTTTATCAAACTTAATTTTAATCAACCAACTTTGTATTTTTTAGATAGAACTACGTGACTTTGACTTCTCCATTTGACATGAGGATACGTAGGAGGAGCGAAACCAGACCCGTCAAATCAAAATAATTTTCAAAATAAATTTTCTCTTTATTAAGAAACCCAAACAATATCTCAATAAATAATTTTTCTTCTTCTAAACTAAAAAAAAATTTGTTGTTTAAGGGTTAAATAAATATTTTTTAAAATTAAGATAAATTTACACAATTAATTTTGAGGTAACCATTTTTAAACGGACATTGTAGGGTGTTAATACCTTCCTTACATGTAAATGACTCCTGAACTCATTTTTGGTTTCAAAGATCATATAATTTTAAAAGTTTTTTCCGAGGTTTTCTTAAAATAAACTTTGGTGGTGACTCTTCTGATATTTTGAAAACGTTTACGTTTTTCGCCGTACCGTTGCGACTACCTGGTTGCGACACTAAGTTAGGAAATTTTAAAAATATATCTGAAAATTTGATAATGGTAAAACCAAAGAGTGATATGTTAAATTTAATTTCTCATATACTTTGTTCTTCTTATTTAATTTTTAAACTAATTTTTTAATTAACTTTTAGAATGTCGTAATTAGTTGTATTGCAACGATGAACGATATATTGCTTAAAAATAATTGGTATTATATTTTTTGCTCCCATTGCAAAAAAAAAGTTTATTTCACAACTACAAATTTTAAATGTGAATCATATTATAAAGATGTTGAGTATCCAATGATGAGGTAATTAATTCATCATTATATATTCTAATTTTTAAATTTTCATATTAAAATAAATTAAATTATATATTATTATCTTAATTTATATACATTACATATTTTGTCTTGAACTTGATGTTAAAAATTACACAGATTTAACTATATTTATCTTATTTGATGAATTTGTTAAACAATTAATACAAGTAAAGTTAAAAGATCTTATTGTAACATCAGAAATTATAAGTAAATGTATTAAGTTCTAACTTATTGAAAAATCTAATCAAATGATTGATTATATAAATAAAATATATTAAAATATATAACTATTTTTATGTGATAATTTTTTAAGGGTAATGGTAAAGGGTTAAAGTTGCCTCTACAACTTTTAAAGATTATTAGCACTTCACATATCTTTTAAATAAAAATAAGTACTTACTTTAAAAGTCGTGGAAGGCAAAGTTTTATTACAAATAAAATTATGAAGCCGACAATGAAGGTAATATAGGAGATTAAATTGAAGTTTCATTATTTTTATTTATAATGTTTATAATATGATAATGAATAACTTTATTTTTATTGTTTGATATATACAAATTGAGAAAAAGAAGGTTTAGACGATACAAATGTAAAACACAAAAGAAAATGACTTGCAGTAAGTTGTTCACTTATATCTCCAACTATGAAAATACTAAATTTACTAAAAACAAGGAAGAAATTAATGTATAAATTATAAATTTATAATATATTGTTTAAATATTTTAGATCATACATTAATTTATATTTGATATTTTCTTTTAAGTTGCAACTTGAAGAAGACAAAGCAAAAAATGGTGAATAAAAGGCAACAATAAAGGATTTAGAAGATTGAATCATTTTTATTGCAGTATTATATAAATACTTTTAATATTGTGTAGAATTTGAAAAGTAAAATGTCAACGAACATTTAAGTCTTTTATAAAATAATTTTGTTATTTTATTGTATATCTCTCTTATTTATTATATATATATATATATATATATATATATTATATTGACTTTATTCTTAGACAAATTTTATATGTGATTCATAAATTTTATATTATATCAACATCTATAGTTTTAATTGATATAAAGATTAATTTTTATATTAAATACAATCATGCCTTAATAATTATATAATAAAATTTTATTAATAATTTTAAATTATAATTACAAATAAATAGTTTATTATATAAAGTTAATTCAACAAATATAAATAAATACATAAATAAAAAATTATAAAGCTTTTTATTTAAATTTCATAACTTATATTAAAAAATTTATTATATTTATAAATTAGTATTATAATTATTTATTTAAAGTTTTATAATAATGAATGATTTATGATATCATGAAACAATATAAGTTTTATTTTTATATTAAAAAAATTATGCTATTTTTTTATGCTAAAAAATACTAAATTATATATATTTTAAATAATTTTAAATAATATTTTATTTTAACAAATAAATTTTTTTATTATATTTATTTATTTTTATATTTAAATTATATATTTTATATTTTAAAATAAATTAACTTAATAAAAATAAAATAAATCCATATTATCAATGTTTATACTTAATACTTATAATAACTTTAATTTTTATACGTGTAGTTGTTGATTACGCGCTTGTCCATACTTTAGCGGTTATCATCCCTAATCAACATCCCATTTCTGTGCCACACGGAAAACCTTCATTCACAGTGGGACAACATAGAACAACAGAAAGAAAAAGAAGATAAAGGTTGGTGATGACATGTTAGTGACGCGGCGAAGCGTATCTGAGAGACACAGTTAGAAAGCTTTATACGAAAGGTCACGTGAAACCCTCACATTTCTTACCTGCGACACATTCCCCATATCCCAGTAACGTAAAAGATCTTCCTCAAGTTTTAGAATAACATGCATCGTAAATGTTACATTATCCCTCACGTTTTTTTCTTCTCTATGCGTGACCCTTGTTGCAAAATTCTAACCATATATAGAACAATGACACCCATAAGACCCTTGGCAACAAAAACATTACAAGCAAATGCTGAGGACTCGTACGGTACATTCTATGCAATTTTAGTTTCCGTGCCGTGTCTACTATAAGTGCATTACATTAGTGAAAATAACAAGTTCATAGGGATCCCAAAATCATGATTCAAGTGGCACGTGAATCATCCGAACTTTGGCAAACTAAATGTGTTTTGTGCTACGTTACTTTCTAAAAGATCAATCATTAGACGAATTACAGGCTTATTCCACTTCATCAATGATAGTAATATGGTTATTTTCTGCTTTTTAAAGTCACTTTTCATCATTTTCTTGCTCTTTTTTCATACCGTTCGTGTATATATATAGCCTTGCATGGGTTGCTCAAACCTTCACCAGCTTCAGTACTGCATGTGTTTTAGGGGTTCATTAGGAAGAAACCCAATCAAGGTTTCTTAACCTAGCAGCTCCTAAACCTTGTAGCCAAATTTTTCTCGAAACCTAAAGAGAGCAAAGAGAGGGCATGGCTATTTTGGACAGTCACAATGTTCCTGCTTTAGCTTTTGGCTTATTAGGTAAACTTATTAAGGGTCATCATTGCTCTCTTTCTCTTAATTGCTGCAATTTTCTTTTCTCTTTTTTTTTCCCCATTTTATGTAAGTTAACATAACCAACTTTAGCATTTCATTTCCTCCATTTATTTCCTGACAACTTTTTTTTTTTCTTTTGAAAGTACTGAATATGCTTCCATACTGTTATCCATCTTTTCTTTTTTTAATTCTTTCTTTTTTTGTTTCATCAAGTTATCCATTACGTTTTTTTATTTTTTCTTTCTTTTTTTTCCCCTTCCCCTTCCTATTTCTCTCTTCCTCCGCCTATTTAACATTCAAAAGTTAGATGTTAACTTATCATTTTTCTTTCCCTCTGAGACTATGTAGCAATAGAACATGATCGTTTACTCTTTTAATCGCCAAGATATGATAAACTCTAATTGCTCTGCACTTTTTCTCTCAAGCACTATGTTTTAACTGGTAGTTTAGTTAATTTACTATACCCATTTTAATTAACCTCTTTATTATTTCCCGCTAAAGCCAAGAACTTAACATATTCTCCATTTGATGCTTAGGTAACGTCATTTCCTTCCTGGTGTACATGGCACCCCTGTAAGTACTTATCAACACAAATATATGTTTTCCTTATATCGTAAATATTAAATATATGTTTTTTCCTTTTCTTAATTTATAGGCCAACTTTTTACCGAATATGCAAAAGGAAATCGACGGAAGGTTTCCAATCACTGCCTTACCTGGTCGCATTATTCAGTTCCATGCTTTGGCTATACTATGCATTACTCAAGCCAGCTGATTCTACCCTTCTCATTACCATTAACTCATTCGGATGTGTCATTGAGATTATTTACATTGCCATCTACATAATCTATGCAACCAGGGATGCCAGGGTACTTTCATTAACTACCTATCTAATTAAATACTTGAAATTCATTCTTAAATCGTCTAATCAAATTGATAACACTAATTATGTTACAAATTCACTAACACTCATCAAAATTACTGATTTTTAACTGCATGCAGAGAATAACCGTTAAACTATTTATGGTGATGAACGTCGGGTCTTTCGCCTCGATCTTCCTCATCACCTACTTTGCTATGCAAGGTTCCCTCCGCGTCCAAGTCCTTGGATGGATTTGTGTATCTATTGCAGTAAGTGTGTTTGCAGCACCTCTAAGCATTGTGGTGAGTGAAAATTTTAATTACATATTGAGTGCTTTTTCAGTGCTTGCACTCCCGTAATTCCCTCCTCTTATTCAATGGTTAATTTTTTTTATCTGCATGCAGGCACAGGTTATTAGAACAAAGAGTGTGGAGTTTATGCCCTTTTATTTGTCACTTGCCCTCACGCTGAGTGCCATAACGTGGTTTGCCTATGGTTTCATACTCAAGGACATATGCATTGCTGTAAGTATATATATAAATATAAAATACTTAATGAAGTTTAACATTAAAGCAATTTCATTTAAGGGTTTTTCATTTTTTAATTTGTTGGGTCTTATATATGTGCAGATTCCAAATGTGTTGGGTTTCATAATGGGATTACTTCAGATGCTGCTATACGGCATTTACAAGAATAGTGGAAATAAAAATAAAGCCGTAGTTACAAAAGAGGAGAAAGAACTAGAGCCAATGAGAGACATTGTTGTGGTGAACACGTTGGGAACGTGTGAGGTGTACCCAATTCCAGTTATCGGTGATGTGAATGAACAAGGAAAGGAAGTTGCAGAAGATAAGGAGAAAACGGCGGAAATCAAGGAAAGCCCAGCGTGAACCCGCGTATTTATGTTTGCGGAGTGTTTGTTACATGAGCACTTCGAAAGATACAAGGAAACGGTTTTCTTATAATAAATTGTAAGAGAAAATAATGTAGGCTTTAAAAAAAAAAAGAGAATAATAATACAATATATATTGTTGTTTATGCAGGTGAATGTTTACCATTCTTATGTTATGTTTGAAGACTTTCAATATTATCAACGGTTTGAATATATTACCGGATTTCTTCTTTATAAATCCATTTTATACTAAACATAACATCAGCCAAAGTTGGTCTCATTTAAAAAATAATAATTAACAGTCTCAAATACAAAAAAAATTCAAAATACACCCCCCCGCCCCCCCAAAAAAAAAAAGAAACTCATCAATAGCACTTAAAAGGTCTTCTAGAAAACCAGTGAAGTCACAGAAAGTTAGTCTTGGTCATTACCTAAAATGTCATAATAATTAAGGAATGAGTTTTTGAAACTCAATTAGGAAGTAACTTACGATAAGGAATTTAAAATTAAAAAAATACACAATAAAATCAAGTTCTTGGAAGATTTTCAAATCCTAATGTTGTATTTGGACAAAAGAATTCTAAATTCCTATATTGCATATATATTTGGATGGTAAAAAAAGTATTTTTGAAATACTTTAAAATTTCGATTATTTTTTTTTAAAGTCAAGTATAAGAAATTTTAAATGACATGTTTAAAAAAAATTAAAATGTCTTCTGTTATGTATAATTAATTACCATTGGTAATTCTTCTCATACTTAATTTACATTTTAATCATCCCTCCTTCTTGATGTCAAATTCTCTAACCAAACACAACCTTAGAGCAGGAGACATACCCCCAAAGTTTTAGTTAGATAGTTATTCATACTTATTCCTTTCCACATATTTCACATCATTCAATTATGTGTACACATGACAAGCATATCTAGGTTTCTACAGGGAATGTCTGACATAAAGCATTTGTCTAGAAAATGTCACATTTTCCTCAAATCCAACATAATCATTTCACTAGATCCATATGATCTTTTCTCATTTCACACATGTATAACATCATATTAATGTATCCTCTTCTTTTTTTCCAAATTCTTCATGTTATCAATATATTGCAACTTAGATGGGGATCTCATGAGACTTTCACTCTAGGGGTTGTCATTTATGTACTAGAGATACCACCATCTTCCAGTTAGACAATTCCCAATGGGTTGATCAAAGAGCCTCCTGCTCGGTGAATTGTCCATTATCGATATTCTCATGCACATATCACCATTTATCACATACCACAACTGATAGTATATTTATGCCCATATAATATATAATCTCTTAATCATTTAGGGATTAATCCCCAACTATCCCTAGCAAAACTCTAAAGCAAACATCCATCCTGTGATTTTAAGAAATTCATCCATAATATTCTATATTTATTACATAGCCTTTTAATTTTTACATTTTAATTTCATACATTTCTATGGTAACCCAAAATATAGCCAGGGTTGCTCCACATTATCACATTATATCAAGGTTTCTTTTCGTTTTAAGGTGAAGGTGAGTTCATCTTTCCCTTAAAGGTGCAGGGCAAGTCAAATAATCTACTATCATCAGCATTACTCATCCCAACCTACTCAAAACATAAAACATTTGTCATTTTATACCTTATACACTTACAAAATTTTTCATCCTATATTTTCTGAACTCTGCACAAGTGGATAAATTCTATTCAACTTGGCTGGGTTGATAAACAACTCCTATGGCCTCTTGTTTCTCGCCAACAGCTCTCCCTTGTATAAATACTTATCATTCCCACCTATATCCGCATCTCATTCATTCATTATCAATAGCATTCTTTTACGAAAGTCCTCTCCTTTATTTTGAGCTTAATGATCTTTGAATGTACTAAGTTGTAGTCACACGTGTCTCCTCTCCAAACTTTGATGGCCCTGGACCTTGCCAAACTAACCCAAAATGTAACATAGTCTGAAATTTAGAAGCAACGTCCAAACATATGCATGATAGCTCAGTGGGAAGAGCTAGCAAGACATATGCATGACAGTCCAGACCAATTACTTCATGCTAAAATGAACTGTTGGATTGGAACAGGTTTTTAACACCCGTTGGCGAAGAACGTTTTCCTCGTGAAAACTGATTTGACAACAGTTAGCTTGTTTACTTTCTTGTTTTATTGGGTTAAATATGGGGGGGGGGGGGGGACCCCAATAGGGAAGCTAGCAAAATCTAATTAGCAAAAATCGTGGAGTCATGCATGTAGCAAGACGGAACTAGTTAACCATTACAGTATACTCACAAAGTTAGACAATACAAATAAACAAACTTAAAAATTGAGTGTAGGAATCCCCAATAGGGAAGCTAGCAAAATCTAATTATCAAAAGTTGTCGAGAGTCATGCATGCAGCAAGACGGAACTAGTGTACCTTTATAGTATACTCACAAAGTAAGACGATACAAATAAACAAACTTAAAAGTTGAGTGTACTTGTAAGAAGACTTACACAATCCAGTAGCAGAACATCTAAGGTACAGGGAAGGAAACTCGACAGAGTAAAGAAAATGGTTACATCATCGAGGAAAGTCATGGTAATTGGCATCAGGAGTGATCCCATTCAATTTTGCTTCAAGTAAGACATTCGATCAGATATGTTGGTGCTTCATGTAAGACATAAATTCTCCAGCTCCAGTCCCAACCCAGAAGTATTGATCGTTATGCTAAATAGTAAAAGGCAAAATGAAGTAAGCAGCAGCTCAAAGTATAATTAACTTTTTCAGCGCTTTCTTTCAGCACGCCACTTGTATACTGGTTTAGTGGTTTGACAGACAATCTCATCTTCATGTAATTTGCGCTTCTTACCCTTTTTCTGTTCATAGATGGAAATATCCTCTCTGAGTATTCTACATATGTAAGAAACAGGTTCACAATAAGCAATCCCAACTATCAATACCTGCAATTCCTTCTGCATTGCCATATCCATGTAGATTTTCTCTAGCTGGTTGAGTCTGCTCCTCCTTGCTTCCAACTGTTGGTAAGACCGAGCTGTTTTCCTGTGGAAAAAAAATACCTTTCTATCAATCTGATATGGTGCCAGAAATCAAGATAAGAAAGAACAAACAGAAGAAAACAATAGTACTGTAATTAATAAATAGATCATAACAGTCAATGAATTATAAAATAAGTAAAGGGTGCAATCTACGAGCAATTTTACAACAAATTCAACCCAAGTATCCGACAACGAAATACTTCAATATGGCCAAATAGCACAGAACTAATCGCAATACAGGAGGAAGAGAATGCTAAGACTCAGCCAAGACATTACTGTAAAACATCTTAATACTGTTAGCATTTACTACAATAAAGGTATCTACTATAATTAACGATCTTAAAGTGCATTAAAGAGAACAAGTTATTTGAAAGAATAGATCCCTGAAAAGTTTCAGTGGTGACAAGTTATTTAACAAAAATATTTAATCTCACAGAAGCTATCAAAAAAAAATAGAAAGGAATCGATTTAAGTCTTTAAAGCATAATATAAGCTGTACCTCTTAATGCTAGCAGGAATATCATCAGAGGTAAGTGGAATTTCACTTTTTGGATATTGTGATTGTAATTCTTTAGCCTCTTCCCTACATAAAAATGGAAAATGATTAAGAAAGGTATCCATTCAGAATGAATTTGAGGAATGAGGATAAAATCTACAATTACACACACAAACTATAAAGAGAAAGAATAGAGGGAACAGAGCTAGAGGAGGAACAATAACATATCAATCATCAAATAGAAAATGGCAACATATCCTTGGAAAAGTAAAAGAGTTTACCGAATGAAGAGATCATATAACATGACTATGATCTATGGGGGAATTTGGAAAAGCTTCCATGAAATCATTGAGTTTATCTTAACTTAACATATAAACACTTTAGTTGAAGAGTAAACGTGTGAGGTTAGTGACTGTCCTATAAGCTCTTGTAGCTTATTAAAATAAGCTTTATGGTAGAACTTATCAAAATAAGCTTATTGAATTAACTACTTATGACATAGCTCTCATGCGATAAGCTCTTATTGAATAAACATTTAGCTAATCCATTTACTTAAATGCAGTCTATAATTCAAATAGCATTTGCATGCACTTACACAATACACACATACATAGAAATTGCAACGCAACTGGAAACCAGAAACCAAATCCTTTACATCATAGCCATAATGACATATTCAGCACAATTAATCTCTCAGAAACTAGTAGTAAGTTGCAACCAAAGCCTTAACATACAACAGCAATATCGCCCATAAAATTTTCATAACTAAATTAATAAAAAGTTGCATAACTAAGTACACCAATCAAACATAACATATAACCATTTAAAAAAAAATGAGTCCATTTTGTTATAACCTGTCCTCCGCAAAGAAAACACGCTTGTTGGATGGCTGATTATCAAGAGAGTGCAGCGTGGCAGTTAGCCTTTCAATTTTCTGCAAGGAAGATCAAGGCACCCACAGGTAAACCTACATTACAATATTAGCATAAAATCACAATATAAACCAGAGATAAATCGAAAGCATTGGTTCACCTTTCTCTCACTCTGAACTTTCTGAAGAACATATCCTATATCCTGGGTCTTCATCAGTATAAGTTCTTCTTGATTGTACTTGTTTGCTTCACTCCTACACAATTGAGTAAGACGCAGGGTGCATTTGGAAATATTGCTTAATTAAGCATTTATTCGATAAGCTCCTTTTAAACAATAGTTTATGCTATTAATTTAAGGATGAAAACATAGGATACATATGAAGTAGTTAGTGACTCTTACTCTGGTCTATGGATTCCATTAACAGTTCTTGTTCTGACCATTTTGAAGTAAAACTCATCTTCGTTTCTATTTGCTGCTTTTTCCCTAAGTTTCTGTAACACAAACACAAATAAAAAATAAGTTATGGAGGGAATGAGAAATTGAAGCTTTAAAGTGTAAAACAGTACCCGTAAAGCGTCCTCTTTCTTGTGGAATGCTCTTGCACGCTGGACATAGTCTTTGTGCTTTTCGAGTAAACCAAATTTTTTCCTCGACGACCTAACCAAAATTAAAAATAAAAAAATAAGTGAAGTCACAGAGGAGAATGAATAGCGATTGGGAGAGAAAAGAGACTGACGGTTGAGCACGCTCTTTGTGAGCGCGTCTGGGAATGGCGTTTCTCAGGGACGACATTGTTTTCGTTGCGTCGTCGACGGTGATGCCCTCTCTACTCTGCACACGGTGACCGCTGCTGCGTTTTTCTCTGCATTATAACGCGCCCTATTAGCCCATAGATAAACGGGCCGGCCCAATCATATATGTCCAGGGAGTTGCTCTTTGCACTTTTTTTAAAAAACTTTTTCATAGTTTATATATATATCCATTACAGTATATCTATACACCTTAAAAAATAGAAAATATTTTTGTGTGTGGAATTTTTTAATATGTTTGTATGGAAATTTATTCTTTTTAAATATGTTTTTTTATTTAATTTTGATTCGTTAAAATATTAAAAGAAGGAAACATTTGAGGGAAAAAATTATCAAATCATAAAATTTTAAATAATTAATTTATGTATTATATAAAAATGTGATTTAAAATATTTAAAATCTATAGAAGTCCATAACTAATTAAAAATTTAAAAATAACAATTTCCACAATCTTTAACTAGTTAACAGTTTAAAAAAAAAAATTACCCTAACATCCACTAAAATTAAACTCTTAATTGAATTCAAAATGAATTAATAAAAAGTCAAAACACAACCCTAATATTTATCTCTTTTGCCTTGACACGGTTTGCAGCCATCTAATTTCCCGTAGAAGATGGGTGCTTCAACACCCATTCTTACACGACTCTCCATCGTCATTGTCAAAGAAGCTTTTGGAAAGTGCACGTCACCCCAAATATCTTAAAGGTGTATCATTTTTCAAAGGTTAATTATAGGATGAGTAATATTAATAATTAACCTTTTGCAATATACTATTTTCAGATTTAGAAGCTAATGTATACGCACATTCGTCTGATTGTGTATAATTTCATGTTGATATACTTCAAAGTACACATAATTACAAAAAAATCATATTCTCATACTCAGAAATTACAATTATTCTATCTACCGAAGTAGAGAGATAAAACGTAAGTACGATTGGTAACTATGCAAATAATATCAAGAGAACAATTTTAGAATATGATTTCAACCTTTCGAAGGAAGAGATTGTTCAACTTTATGAGACCATTGTGAAAAAAATTATTACAGCATTCTTCAGTCTTCGTAAGCTTCTTATTGTGGTCATATAAAATAAACCAAGTTTCGCACAATCAAGCATCCTTCACCAGAAAACACACGAGAAAGATAAAAATTTAACTGTACAGTTTAGTTATTTTTGCTAATTTCATATTTAAAATTTAGCACACTAATTATAAGTCCTTAATAAATCCTTTATTTATTCTATTAGCAACATCACATTCACTTTATTCACTGGTGATCCACTTTCCATTCCGTAATAGATCAATGTTCTATTATATTTCAATTAAAAGATTACTACTCTTAAAATATATATATATAAACTCCAACTATATAAATGAGTGCATACACAAGAGAATACAAGAAATATTAAAACAATAAATATTGACCATTATATGAGGCCACAATTAGAACATCAGAAAGTCATGTTACTTTTGCAAACGGTAACATATCATAATCATGTGACATATAAATGATCTTCTAATCTTTACCAGTATATATAATCCAAGGTTCAATGTTCATTTCCCCTCACCTGCAGTAGCCCATCTCCAGGAAATCAACTAAGCATAGCATCCAAATTGCATGAATTAACATAACACAAATTCTTATTTTCAACTTTTGCTACAAGGCCTAATCCGGGTAAAATCCACCCAGAATTCCACAAGCAGTGGATTAGTAGTATACGATCAGGTTGAATCAAATTACTATAATTATTTGGCAGCAGCTATTTTCTCTATACAATGTAACTCCAAGAACCTGCAATGTTATGTAACCTCTTAAACCTTTGTCATATTTCCCCCCTTATATCTACAACAAGCCACAACACCTAGTCTGTTGATAACAGACAGATCATAGATGGTGCTGAATTTATTCTTCGAAGTTTTTCTTTCGGTTTAGTCTTCTCCTCAATTGGAATGATGCACTCCATGAGCTGCAGGAAATCAAATTAGAGGATATAGAGATTAGAGTGACAGCCAGCATATGAAAAAAAGCAATTGTATGGTTTAAACAAAGTTGAAGGCCAATGTGCACATGGCCCTTCCACACTTGTTATCAGTTATTATTACTTCTTGAGCAGTCCCTTTTATTTTTTTTGAAAAAATTGTTCATCTACCAAATGAATGGGAAGATGAAATCATGAAATCAGTAACAAACAAGTTCAGCATTACGTTAACAAGCAAGAACTATTTCCACAAGTAGATTTTGTAATCAGAGACAATTGATAGCCAGCAAAAGAGGAGCAAGAAGACGAGACTATCTCATAAGAGATAACATAGATAGATTGAAGTTGTCAGACTATATTATACGGACATAAAATGCACGAAGAATTAGGTGGATCCTTTTTATTTTCCCCCAAGGATACAGAAATTTCACTACTGATTTCCTGATTCAACCAAAATTATAAAATTTAGGCACTGAAGTATCCAAATATGACAGCCCACCAAAGTTCTAAAAATATTTCCAAAGATATAAAATGCAGATTCAACTAAATTGGCATGCATAAATGTAATTTAAGAACATATAAGTCTAGTCCATGTGAAGTAGCATAATCCGACAAGTATGATAGTCAGGACAATCTAATTAGCGTAATATTATGCTCTGTTTTGAACAATAAAAGTCATGATCGATTGTAAATGTTGTTTCGTACACAAGGACAAGTTCAAGAGTAAGGAACGATGACTTCGTAGGCAAATCATCCCAAATGAGAGTATAAATTGTGGTTAACACAAAAATCATAGTAACTGAAGTAATTGAGAGATGACAATTAGGTCAAATGGAAAGTTTCCAACTTAATAAAGAGTATAGATTGCTCATTTTGGTATTTTGGACACATCCCACTGGTACTTCACAGAAAGTTCAATAGTCAAGTTGTATTCCTCATTTTTCCACTTCTTTTTTTCTACACATAAGGAAAAAGAACACTCAGAAAGTAACGATGTTTAATTTATTTGTTATTTGTGACTCAAATGGATGGTTAAGACTTAAAGTAGTATCTTCTCTCCTTGCCAAAGCAATTATATTGTATGCACTTAACCACTAGTTCAGAAGGCTGGAAGAAATCATGACGTGTCCTCCACACGGACCAAAAACAAAAACAGAATTGAATAGTATATAGCACACAAACACATCTTAGATGCTTCAATTACCCAATTTTCTTGATTTATCGCTGTGAACACTATAGTTTCAAGGCTCTCCAATAAATCACCCTCAACATACTTGCCCTTTGCATGCCAATATTTATAACTATGGGCCCCATTATTTCCATATAACAACATCAGTCCATCAGTGCTTGATTTTTTATAAAATCATTTGGCTGGAATTTCCTACATTTTGAGCTTCTGTCCACCCATTGAATCCACATTCATCAAAAGAAAATTATAAAAGGAATTTGGCTTCTTTAATGAAGATATACAATTCATTACACGACAATTTACAGTATATCAGATCAAATATACAAGAAAATGCAAATTAACTTGTCAAAAAGAGAGCAGACAAATAACATACCTGTTTGTACCTCTGCCTTTTCATCTCAGCCTGGATTCAAGACCCAACATGTCAAAAACCAACAAACAAATCAGATTCCAGGCACCAAATGTGAAATATTAAACAAGCATCAACCAGGGGGAAAAAATACTGTCAAATACCAGCAAATCTTAAACAAACAATAAAATTGCATTAACGTTGCTAAGGGAAGTTTTAAACTGCTATCACTCAAATGCCAGCAAAAAGACAACTTTATAGAAGATGGAATCATGCAATGCAGGAGTGTATTCGAAGAATACAGATTTAGGAGAACCCTTCTCCAACCAGCGTTTGAATGAAATCAAATTTATGCCATAAACGAGTTCTCAAGACCAGAAGATCGAAATTACAGCACCTCTTCACTGATTTCCAAAACGCAAAACGGTCTCAACACGTAAATGCAAAATAAAGCATCATAATCGCACCTCTTCACTCAATAGCCGCGCATTCTCTTGCTCCAACTGGTGAACCAGATACTCAAGCTCCGATGTGTAAGCCTGTAAACAACATCCCACCGATCAACTTCACAAATAAAACCCAAAACCCAAAAATAAATAACCAAATCACAATTCCATCGGAAAAAAAACACAATCAGAGAGTGAACCACCCCCAAAAAAAAAAAAAAACTTCAATTCAGCTCCTTCTCACCCACCAACAAAATTACAACCATGAAACCACAAATCCACATTAAAAAACCAAACTTGATTAATTGTTATAAACAATGAAAAAAGAGGAAAGACCTGTTTGCGTTCCCTGGACCTAGCAGCAGACTCTCTATTCTTGATCATCCTTCTCTGCTTCTGAAGAGCGGCCTTATCAAGAGGCTCCTCGACGGCCCTTCTCTTGGGTTTACCCACAGAAGGAGACGGTGCATTCCCAAAAGGCTCAACAGAAGAAGAAGAAGCCTCAGCGGGAGGAGGAAGAGGAAAAGGAGAAGGAGAAGGGGAAGGAGGAAGAACCCCTCCAACATCTTCATCTCTAACAGCACCAGCTTTGGTCAAAAAATCCTCAAGGGTCATTTCATTGTTGTCATGAGACTGCGTTCCAGATACGAGCTCTTTCCAAACATCATCAACGGTTTTTGGGTCTTTGGAAGATGGAGGAGTGTAGATGGACTTGAGAAGATCGTCCATGGAGTTGTTGGGATGAGGATCGGAAAGAAGGTTAGAGAGAGAAGATGATATAGAAGAGTCGCGTGGCAGATCCGGATTCGTCGAGACAACCTTCGACGACGCCATGCCGCGTTTCTAGCCGTCTTTTCTTTTGCCTTTTTGTTCCACTTCAACTGTTGTTGTTGTTGTTGTTGTTAAAGTTGTTGTGTTTGCAAACAAGGAGAGGGTGGATTGTGGGTTCTTTATTTTCGAGATCAAGCAGACAATGATTTAATTAAATTAAAAATACATTGAAATGCAATGAAACAAGTGTCCTCAACCCATCTTTTATTTGCAGCACAACACAACAATAACTCAATCCTAAACAACAGGTTCGGCTTTTTGCTCAGTTGATTTGATTTTGGGATGCTATGTATGCAATTTCTTTTCTTAGTAACTCTCTTTCACTTTACATACCACAAATGTTGCCTCCCCTCTTCTCTCACATCCCTCGTTTCCTGTGCTTTGGATGTGAAATGTTCTTTTCCTATTTCATTAATTCTTGTATTTTTCACACTTTTTTTTATTTCATATTATTCCACCTTCTTCACACGCTAATAAAAAAGCAATAAATACTTCATGTGTGTTTATTATTTTTTAGACAAATGATTATTCAATTGCTTTTAAAATAATCGCACTTTTTAAAGCTGAGTTAAAATGAAAAGAATTATTGTAAGTTTAATCCGTGACGTTTAATGATTAACTTTTGAGAGTGGGTATGAACTATTATTTCAAGATTAGCTTTGTTATGCCTTGTTAATGAATTAGTATTTATACACATATCCAATTTTTTAAAATGTTAATTTCAATATTTAAAAGTAGTAAATATTTATTAAAAAATTATATTTTTATTAATTTAATACAAGAACAGTGTTTTTTCTATAAAAAGTAACTAATTTTAAATATTTAAACCCAATTCTAAAACTTAAGATTAATAAAATTATAATTTTTATATAATTATTCAATAAAACTATGAATAAATTAAAATTAAATATTTTTTAATTGAATTTCAATTTAATTTTAAAATAAATTCAATCTAAAATAATTAGATATAATTTACATTATAATTTTTGCATTATGATAAAATAAAATATTTCTAATAACGGGAATGATAACTGTTAATTAAGAAACCAAAAATAAAAAGGTTTTATTAAAAATTATTAATATGATAAACAATATTCAAATACTAATTTGTTAATTATTACTTTTAAATGACAATATTCAAATATTAATTGTACCTATGGATGAAGTAAAATGTTTTATTATTTATTTCTTAAAATGACTCTTCAAGCTATATTATTTTGCATTAATTAAAATATTAGTTTAATTCTTCAATTTGGGAATGTCAAATAATTAATTGAGTGTTTAATATTATAAATATTAAAATGATAATTTAAATAATAAGTTTAATAATTTAAAATTAATTTAATTTTTAAAATTATTTTTTGAGCATATAAATTATTTAATAAAAAATTATTTCAATTTAATTTGTATTTTTTAACTTGAGTCCAGCAAATACAATTATATTTAATATTTAGATGAAGAGTTTTATTACTCCCAATATTTTACTGGAGTTGACTCACATAGGTTAATTTAACTTTCATTTAACACAACTCACCTTTACAGAGAGCCTATGAAATTGTAACCTGACATATCGGATAGTGGGTTAGCTCATTAGTTAATTCACTAAAGTAAAAAATAAAATAAAATTTATATTTAAAAATAAAAATATATAATTAATGATCAATATTAGTAAGTAATTTTTAAATTGTTAAATATTTTAATATTTTAATATTTAATTTTTATTTTTAATAGTTATTAATATTAACCAATTAATTATTAAATGACAAGATAGATTTTAAAATATAAAAAAAAAATTCAATTATTCAATAGACAAGTAATCCATCTATAAGTTGTATAAACTATCAATGTTTTACAAAAATAAGAGATACTATTAAATTTTATCAAATAATAAAAGAAAAATACATTTTTTAACTTCTCAAATTTTTTATAATTTGAATTTGATGTCTAAAAACAACATTGGGAAGCATGATTGGACAAATCTTTAATGTTATTAACACTTTGACTCAGATAACTAATACAGTCCTATAACAATTAAAAAAATAAATTTAAAATACTTTTTTAAAAGATTAAAAATGATTTTAAAATTAAATGAAATAAAAAATCAAACATCTTTTTTCTCGACAAAACTTATACCATTCAACCTGCAGCACCATCACCGTATACCTTCCGCGAGATCATATGACCTTCGTGAGGTGCGTGCATGTGGTGTTTTTTTTTATTATATAATTAAATTAATTTTCATTTACTCTTATTGATATAATAATTTTATTATTTGTTGCTTTTACAGAACAAATTACTTTTAATTTCCTCTCATTTAACATGTATTTAAATTTTTAAAAAAACATCAGCACTTTTCTTTTGAAAATTCTTTTACAAAATTAATACAAAATTATATTAATAAGTTTTATAACTATTTGACATAACTTTCAAATGCGAACTCTAAAATATTTTTTTAGAGTAACTGTCGTACATCCTTAGTCAATTATTTTAATAATATTTCTTCTATCAAATTTTTAATGAATTTAACCATAATTTAATAATAAAAATTATAGTGACACAACATACCTTGTACGAAAGTATATATTAAATAATATTGTTTTAAATACATTATAAATTATTGAGTTTGAGCCTTATATATATAATATTTGTCAAAAAGTTATCTTCACTATGTTATAGATATTTTAAACTCATAGAAATACCTATTATAAAAATAATAATATAAAATATAAAAAATAATCTATTTTGAATAATATAATTATAAACATTAGAATATATTAATTAATAAATACTTAACAACTTATTAATTGTAAAAATGTAAATATCAGAATAATAATATACTTTTATATTAATGCAAAAGTTTTTATAATTATTTAAGTGATAAATATAAATCCACTCTAAAATTTATATTTATTGATCTAGTTGAGTCTTTGTAAGTGTCCTTGTTCATCTGATGTGAGTTGATGGACATGACAAAGAAAGTAACAATATACCTGAAAGTTTGTGCATTTGGGGATTGTAGATGAATCACAACTAAGACTTCCAAGGATAGTTTGTGAATAAATGTTACAGATCCTTTAATTTTAACATATAGAATGCTTGTGTGTCCCAAGGTTATTTGTAACCTTTAGTATATCCTTAGTCCAAGACATATTAGACCTGCAAACATCTTTCTTGTCTATAACATTTGTATTAAATTTTGTTTGTATAATTTAAATATGTTATTTATAATATGAGTATTCAATTTAATTATTTAATATCATTATTATTTTTAAAATATATTATAAATTTACAAATTATTTATTTTTATTAAAATATCATAAAATTTTATTAATATCAATACTTAAGATTTACTCTAAATGAATTTATTACACTTAAATATAATTTATTTTTAATAAAAAATTCAGTTTTATATGTTAAAAGTAATTATTATAGATTGTTTATTAATATTTCTCTATTTTATACTGTATTTTTGTTGTTGTTTATCACTTAAAAGAACATTATATATATAAATTAAGGAATATATTCAATATATATATTTATATTATTTTTAAATTTTCTAATAACTCTATTAATAATTTTCTCTTATTTATGATAATTGTGTGAAGTATTTAAGAATTAGATGAAGAATTGCCGTTGTCTTAAATATTTAAATGGATAAATAAATAAAATAATTTTTAAGCATTATATTAATGAAAGTATTATATTTGAAACAATTGACTGAATTATTAAGCATAAGGAGAGTTAAGAGGAGATAGAGGAAGCTTTCCAATGTTTTGACTTTACGTGCATTAAGGACTTTGCTTTCGCGTGCATGAATCTTCCTCCTCATGTTGTTTCTTGTGACCTCTTACTCTTCCCTGTTCATCCTTGGTTGCTTCTACTCTTGCGTTGTGTTAGTGCACAGTGCACTTCTAACTAAAGTAATTTCCTTTTTGTTTAATGTTTGATTTCAAAATATTTGTATTAAAAAAATTGTTTACACTTAAATTTTTTTTTTGGTAAGACATAATAATTATATATATATATATATAATATTTTCTTATTTATAAGTCTAAAAACTCTTATACTTAATTTGAGTCTTTCATTTAATTTACATTTAACAGTGAGTAAAATAATAAATTATAACCCGTTAAATGTAAGTTAAATAAAATATTTAAATTGAGAGTAAAAATTTTTAAACTTGTACTAGTATAAAAAATTTTGTTTATATATATATTATTTATAAGTCTAAAAACTCTTATACTTGATCTGAATGTTTTATTTAATTTACATTTAACAATTAGTAAAATAATAAATTATAACTCGTTAGATATAAATTAAATAAAATATTCAAATTGAGGGTAAGAGTTTTTAAACTTATATTAATATAAAAAAAATTATTATATATATATATATATAAATTTAGAAAAAAAAATTTCAAAATAAATTATATATATTAAAATTTGATTTATCTGTCATGTACAACCTTGTCTTTTTAATAGAAAAAAAAAGTGTAATTTATTATTAATTAATTAAAAGTGTGTAATTAATGAGGTTTAACCTATGTAAATTTATACACGATAAATAAATTGTTTAAAATTAATGCTGGATAATTATCCTGCCAAAATGATTGTTAGAATCATAGCAGCCGTGTTAGTTTTAAATGCCATTAAACACCGACAGATAATTATATATATTAAAAAAAAAACATGTATTTTCATCCTCAATGAAACATCATAAAAAAAAGTAATAATTTGCCTAAAAAAAAGGCGCATCAAATGAGGTAAATAAAATACTGAATAAGAGCGGGCTTGATTATGGAGTCCTAAATTTAATTTTAGACTGTTTAAAATATTAAAAAACATTAATTTAAATCTCTTTAAAACTCATTATAAGGTTTAATTAGTGGAACAAAATCTTTATAGTACCTTCAGAGGGCTAATATATCTTTTCTATTTAGTTAAACAAATTAATACTAAGTATATTAATAATCTTATAGGATTTTAATATTCACAGTTAAATCCTTGTAAGCTGCTGTAGATGTCATCAATCATCAATCATTGACTGCAACGCAGGCTGTGTGGTGCATTGTAAGTGTTAACTCTTGGCTTGACATTCATGAATTGGTACAGCTTTGGACAGGGTAAGGAATCAAGAAATGTTGTATATTTGAAACTAAAGCAACGGAAGAATGGCAAACAAAGTAAGAAGAATGTGCAGAGGACGATGAAGTGTTCCCTAAATTGCATGTCATCGAGCAACCCAAAATCTTGAAATTAAGCTTTGAGTAATACTCAGCCATGCAACCAGATTTCTTGTACTTTTATTCGGAGGTTTTTGGGTGGATTTTGGAAGGTTTTGGGAAGGTGTTCGATAAAATGACTGAGAGAAAATATGTGTGTTTTCATTGTCAAGTGCATTCAGAATGATTCCATTTAGAACAATGGATGTTTTTGCCATGAAATATGTTAAACTAAGCTACTATGGTTTGTGCAGTTTGAAGAAATGGTTCGAGAGGTTTTGAAAATAGGCAACTCCAACAATTAAATTAGAAACGCGTTTTCATTGACGCTGTATCACGTTGGATTAAATAGCAAAATTTAATTGAAAATTATATTGTAATATCTAAAAGATTTATTTCAATAATAATAGTTATATTAGTATTTTAGTTTTTAAAATTTTAAGAATGTTATATTAGTATATGAATTTTATCTCTATCCATTATTTTAATTCTTCAAGTCAATACTATTAATATATAACACTGAAATGTTTACATTATATAATTAATTGTGTAACAAAAATAATATTATATAGCATAATATATTTTTTGCCGCTTTAATCTTTAATATTATCACTCATTAGATATTTTATTTCTTAATTTTTAAATTTTTTTATCTACATATCTTTCTTTTTATTTATTTATTTAATACTATTAATATTAACATCAATCATCGTCTCAATTTTGTTATTGTTATCTAATATTTCTTTTAACATTCTGTAGACCAACTTTATTAGTTCTTTTTTAAGACACATGCATTCTAACCTTATTTACATTGATTTTTATAACAACAAATTCAGAGAAACATTATATACTTATATTATCATGATAGCCTCAATTTTGAATTTTTTCTTGTTATGTTCTAATTCTCTAAGTTGGAGAATTCAGAATTTATATAAAGTTGAAGCTAGCAATTAGTTACATTTGAAAAAAATAAATAAACATTTTGTTCGATTTATTAGATGTTATTGGATAACTTTGTAGAGACATAAAAGAAAGTTCTACCTTTTTTTTTATTCATCTAAATAAATAGAAGAAATTTCTTTATTATTTCTTTACTTCTCTTATTTAACTCATTCAAATATTAAATATTCTTATATATATATATATATATATATATATTTATTTATTTATTTATTTATTTTAATTTTAATTTGATATGTCATTAGTGTAAAAATTTGGCATTGACATTCAATTAAATTAATTGGAAGGGAATGCCGAAGAATTGTAGGAGCTTGCGTACTTTTCTTTGAAGATGCACTTCAGACATCCTAGATTATGAATAGTAGGTATCAGCAAAATGATGTTAAAGTTATATCAAATCAACTTTAGAGGTCGGGGCACAAAAGCAATGCAAAGATCGGACAAAAGAAGTAAAGAACACAGGGAAAAACAGTAGAGTAGCAAACAAAGAATCCACCTCTTTTATCCACCCACAAATAAAGGTTAAGTCTTGGGGCTTAGCTCTGTTTTGCACCAAAAAAGCAGAAGAAGAAATGATGAGTGGACCTCGTAATTTAAGTTTGAGGAACCTTTAACATAAAGAAAATTATTGCAAAATCAGAATATACCACATGTTCACATCACCTAAGTCTTTAATCATGTGACGTAGACTATCTTTGAAAAATCATTAGAATGCAAATGAACATAAGAATGGTAATACGGATTCAAATTATTGGCTCTGCCTAACTTACTAATTTTCACAAGGCCAAATGGAGATTTTGAGCCCAACAATCTATTCAATCCGTCTCGCTTAATCTATATCTTAAAGTAGGTTAAATGAAGTAATGTAAGTTAGACCCATAAGATTAGTTTTATATATATATATATATATATATAAAATAAAAGTTTAAGAAATTAACATTTTTTTATATCTCTTAAATTTTACACGTAAAAATAGTAAGCTTAAAAATTAAATATTAAAATCAATAAAATTAACAATTTATTTAAGTTAAAATTTAATTATATATTTTATTTTTTAAAAGAATTTTAAGTGGATCAACTCAACCTAAAGTTAGACATTAATATTTTAAACTCGTTTTTTTTTTGTCGTGATTTTTTATAGCTCCTTTAAAAATTGAATAGGTTAAACTCAACTCAGTTTTTAAGGACTGCTGAGACAGCGAGTTAACCCATTTTGCGATCCTTATGAATGGTCGTCTACACTTTCCTCGAGACAATGTAGAAATAAAATTGTTTAGGCCATGTTATCATGATTATCCGTTGACATGAATTGGGAAACAAACACCCTCACGATCACATTCTAATTACATCTATCCTCAAACCCCACATGTGGTAAGCATGTCGATGCTTCGTGGTTGCTCTTATGTAACGTTGCTGTATAGTAGTTGGGCTTTTGTTCTCTCTTAATTGAATCTTAGGACAAAGTAAAAGAAAATGTGGTATATAGAACATTGATGACAAAGAAAGGACTTGAGGCAAATGCTGGGATTGGTACTCATTTTCTCATTTTTCTTTCTACCAGAAATCTAGGTAACCAAACAAACCTAACTTGATCAGTGCTGCACACCTTTTTGGGCAGTTAATAAACACGTTAGTAACAATAGTCATTGATCAGTGCATGGTCTTTTTCGCATCACCTTTTAGATACTTGGAAGATCAAAATTACAATACCCTTTTCCTCATTAAAGATGCATACTATCATTACAGGATAAACAACATAAATAGCACCTGTCTGCATACCTACATTGCTATCTGACAACTAAACCTAATCATCATCATAACCCGCATCATACATATCAGCGTCACCATCTCCATAGTCATGGTCCTCAACTTGTGCTTGATCATTATATGCAGCAGCATTGTCAGGCTGTGCATTATTGTCTACCATATCAGTAGGCCCCATCCCCTGAGATGATTCGTCCACCTTTGCTTGCATGGATGTCATACTTTCATCACTGAAGAACGAGGAATACGGTTTAGAAACCTGCACATGAAAATTAATTAGTCTTCAGCTTCAAAGTACAAGGTGGAAATTTGTGTTAAGTCCATAATCAAATAACTATGGATGTATTATGCATAGTTCTAGATAGACCAACAAATGATTACTTAGGTAAATATTATAAATAAGAGGAAGTGTACTACTCGAGCGTCTAAATTTTGATCAGTTAGGCTCAATTAAAAATTCATGTTTTAATGGATCAAATTCACTGCATTGCTAATATTAGAAATTTTCAGCATATTTACTTTGAATAAACAGTTCCTCTTCTCAGCACTTTCCACTAGCTTGTTCCATTGTTCACTCCTCCTCAACGTTGAGGCAGATCCAACCACCTACGTAAACAAAAAAAAAATTGATCACATTAAGACATGTTATCAAATGAAATTCTTGAAAGCATCGCATTAATCCCAAAAGATACGGTACCAACACCGCAGACTTTGCTCTAGTGATCCCAACATTCATTCGTCGGATGTCCTCCACAAACCCGATGCCTCTATCTTTGCTTGCCCTGACACATGAAAATATTGCAATGTCCTTTTCCCTTCCCTGAAAGAAAGAGGAGAGTATTCTTTAATCTCAAATAAAATGTGCCAACCATGTAAGAAGCATAATAGGGAGAGAAGCCCAAGTTGTTTCACAAACCATTAAGTAACGGTGTAACTCTCATTGAAATGAAAGAAATATTATGGAATATACAATTCATTTAGCCATGGAATATTTCTTCAATTTCAAAAGTTTTATAATTTAATCTAGTAAAACTACAAAATTAGTGGCCATGTCTATGGTGCAGTGCAACAGTTCATGTGAATGTATATCAAGCACTTACCCTTTGATAGAAGTGCTTGAAATGCATGGCTGTAGCATTCTGTAGATACTTAGTGAAAGCTTAGATTTTGTTTTCTTGTTGACATGATAAATTAGCTACGGCATGCAGACGGAAATTACTATCAAATGGAAATCAGAATTTACCCACAAACAGGAAGAAGCAGATTAATTGAAGGGGATTGATTCAAAGTGGCATGAAGTAAGTTCTTTAGTCAAGTCCAATGTTTGCAGTCGGTCCCTTCAACAGATCAAGGACATAATAGAAATGATGATGAATCAAGTTAATTGATGCGTAAACCCTAATATCATAATAAGCCTTCCAACTGAAATAACAAAATTTATGGCTTTTCACACTACGACTATTGAATATCCCAACCCTGATCTCTCCTTGTCTATTTCAATTCCACTTGCCACTACGATGGTGGTCACTGCCTGTGGCCTTGATGTACAATGCATTACTGTAATGGTTCATGCCATGATAGTAAAACAGGGGTAGACAATGAAGTCATGGGAAAAGAGGAAAAGAGAATTTGCATGTTGATCGGTGTCTATCGTGGGAGAAAATCCTTCACAATAGTTGAGGGGGAGAGGAAGAAAAAGATAACCAAAATGTTTTGAGAGAATTCAGAATGAGAATGCTTTCTTAATCAGTATAATGTAGTGCTGTACATAGTTTCCGCATATCATCCATTTATAATCTCTCAATAGACTTAGTGAAGACTGTTTCCTAGGATACTATTAATTGAGTAGTACTTCCTACACATTAATACCCATCAGTACTAAATACATTTTATCATGTGAAACACGAATGGACTATTCCCAAGTGCATTTACTATTATTATTTATTTATTCCAAACAACATTCGTAGCTAGTGATTTAAATCCTTCACAATTTTAGTCTTGCAATTACCCTTGATGTCACAGGTTTATATTCCAGTCAAAACCACATTCAAGTATTTGCATAATTTATTATTAAAATCAATACTAAAATCAATACTAAAATCAAAAAAGAAAATGAAGGATATCATATGATTAACATTAAGCTAGTTTACCTGGCAACCATCAACAGTACATATATCCACTACTTTTTCAGCTGACATTCCAAATGTCTCTTCAAAACGTTTTTGGAAGTGCTTGACTTGTTGACGATAGGGTGATATAATTGCAACTTGGTTACCTGACTTCAGTGTGGGGTAAAGCGTTATCAGTTTTTGATACAAGAATAGGACAAAGTCAACCTCCTCAACATTTATCCATGAACCACTCCCAGATGGCCGAGTCTCCTGTCCCTCATGTATATCAAAGAAGCAGAATGGGCCAAAGCAGCGGTAATCATGCCATGCTCTAACTGTCTGTAATTTGACCCCATCCCCATCTTCCAACGAGTCTTCATAAAACTCCCTAGAGGGAAAGCTTCTTATCTGTTTGACCATAACAAAAAAACCCACTTAAAAAATTGATAGGAAATATCAACAGATGCAGAGAACACAAAAAGAAGATAAGAGTAATAGAAGAAAGAAACATAAGGATGTATTTTCTCCAGAGAAATACAATTATAAAAGGATGATATCTTAGATACTCAAGGTCCGACTCCTGATGAGATTGATATAACTCCTGCTTTTTTACCTTGATGCAACACAAGGAAACTCTGTTTAACAGGTTACATTCACTTTGTTATGCGAAGCAATAAAATCCAAGGCAAAATGGCTGTTGAAGTCCCACATCAATTATAGATACAGCTAAATAAGAGATTGGCCAAAGCAATCCTCCCCCAGCTGGCTTTTGGGGTTGAGTTAGGCTGAGTCCAAATTCAACGATGCCTAAGGAACTGTAGATGTGAAGGCTGAAAAATTTCTCTACACATTCCACTTGTAGCATGTACTCTTTAATTTAAAAGATTCTCTCTAACATCATCTTTTTGCAATATACATATCCTTCAATTCAATATGTTTCTCGACTATGCATCATTAAAATTCATTCCTTCAAAACCATAATTCTATTTTACTCATTTTTTGCTAAAACCCATCAAACTAGAGATCTAATTTAAAATATAAAAATTTGAAAGCTGTCTAGCTCTCAAAACTAAATTTGATGCAGAAAGTAAGACAGCATATCATTTAGGTAATAAGTGTACCATACATACATTGCACAGAGAAATGTGGTGGTGGTGGGGGCTGCGAATCACAGCCATATACTTTTTTCAACTTAGCTATATGCTGCATATTTTAAGTGCACAGATTAATGGCTATAAATATTTCTAATTCCATTACTTTAAATTGGCTTGCATTAGAAAAGAAAAAGGGATTTATTTACATCAAACAATTATGACAAAGTTGTTACCCAACAGTCTTCTAAAAGATTAAGAATATATGTTTGCTACATTCATTTCAGTATCAAGGATCTTAGTATATTAAAAATACATTCAAAGTATCAAGTTAGTTTTTGAAGGAAATTTGCTCATGTTTCATCCTCTTGATTCAGAGAAAATTCTCTCAATGTCTTGATACTCATGGATATTAAAATTAAACAAATTAATTTTGTAAGATTTTACTAAACATATGTATTAGAAATAGGCTAACACCTAACACAACTCCAAAAGCAAATTCAAGAGGAGAGAATAACCCAAGCCATAAGAAATATTTTGGTCTTATTTCTAGCCGATATGGAAAATCTTAAAAATATACACCAACCTCGGGATGCATTCGGTATTGAGTCTTCAACATTTTAACTGGATAACCACCCTCCTTCAACCTTTCAAATAAGCTTGTGCCATATCTTAAATTCATGCAACAAAAAAGAAAATTCAAGGGTTAGCCAAAAGAATGGTTTAATGTATTAAAATGATACAACAATCAATAAAATAATTGTTTACCCATGATTCTTTGCATTGTCAGAAATTACGGTTGCTGGAAGTTGAGCTGGATCCCCAACCTTCAAAAAATAGCAAGAAAATGTAGCAGCAGTAAGGACAACATTCACCCAAAATTATTTAAAATTGCTTACTCCAGCAAGTTTTAAAAAGGTTAAATAATTGTAAAATAATATTTCCATTCACCAGGCCTTGTCTAAGCAGTTAATGCACGTTTGGATGCTAGTTAATGTTACATACACGTATGTTTTGGATCCACAAGCAACTCTTAGTTGCTTAAAAAAAACATGTTTATGATTATAAATGCTGAACCAAACATACTATAAATCACTAGACATGAATTATGAATCTCGTTTTTGTATAACATTTCATATCTCTTGGGCAATGATAAATAAATATGCTTTCTTTACAGATGCTGTAAAAAGGTTTTTTTTCCCCCCTTGAAATTTGTACTTTATGAAAGATTAGATAGTTAACATGTATAGTGGGCATATTAACACAGCTGCAACGTAAATACTATAAGTAAAATAGTAAAAGGGTCTAATAATGTAAGGAAAAGCAATGAAAAGTACCAGGAAAACTTTCTTGCATTGATTGGCTAAAGGAACAAGAGTTGCGGGTTCCACCTGTTTAAGGGTGACATGTCATTGCATATTGACAATTATTAATCTTATCATTGCAAATAGTAACAAGTAAACAATACAACTGGAAACTAGAAAATAATAAACTTGCTACACTTTCCAAAATTGTCTAGATTTATTGTAATTTTGGAAATAAGAGTTGGAATTACTATTCTAATTTTTCTTGCAAGTAAATTCATCTTGTATTCATTCTTCCATATGTAAATATTCAGTATATTTACATATGTTTGCTGTCATGGGTGTCTTTCACCTAATAGCTTAAGCTATCAGGATAGTCAGTTCATGGCATGGTATCAAAGTTTCTATGACCATATAATCTAGAATTCAATCCTTGCCTGCCTATTCTCTTCTAATAAAAAGAAAAATTACAGCACAAGATAAGAGGATGTGTGCATTATCCACCCTTGAAGCCCAAAGGACTCTTGTGTGAGGGGGTGGGTTAAATTTACAACATAAACCATTCAAGTGTTGTCAGTCATCACATAATAGCTTTAAGTTTATTAGATGGTCTATGACATATTCCATCTGCTTGCTACAACTCGAGTAGTTGTCACAATATTTTCAAGAAATGCAGAAACTTATTTGAACAAAACTTTGCTCGGTCAATTTATATTACTAGCAACCTAACATGTTATTTGGCGACCATACTGAAAAAGATTTCACACTTACAGCTTGTGCTGCTTCATCTATAATCACAACATCAAAGCCACGATTTAGTTTACTGAAAACATGGGAACCACTAAAACTGAGTGTGGAGAAGACCTGCCAAGCACAAAGAAAGTACTAAGAAAAATAGTTTTTTTGCTTTTTCTTTTGCATTCAACAGAAAGTTTGAAATACATACAATTGTGGCCTCATCCAAAATTGCAGCCCGGATGCTGTCATCATTACTTCCTGCAGGACCATTACTCTGCTTATCGGTGGATGATTTGGTGGCATTGGCACGTTTTTGTTTCAGCTGCAATTAAAATTTTAAGCATAAGAAAAAATTGACCCAAATTACATTTAGAAGAGCAGATACACTATACATATTGCAATATAATCAGTAATTATGTAAATAAAGTTTACACTACCAATTCATTAATCAAAGCCTGTCTAATTTGGCTCATTTGTACCAAGTTCAAGAAATATGAATTATGCTCAATTTATTTTCTTTAAGAATATTTTCCTCAAAGGTCTATATAAAAGGTCATCCCCATATCTTCAGAGGATGAAACACAAAAAATAAAACCAAGATTGTTGAATATGCTTTGGGCTGAAAATCTACATACTAATGTGTTTTGGGTTTAATAACACGATAAGATTGGACTGCCCAATTATAAGATATATGAAGGATGAGCACAAATTAAAATTATTTTGGTGATCACAGATCCTAGCCATAAAAGCAAAAGATATAGATAAGGTTCCAATCCTAGCAAAGAGTGATGAAGCAAAATATCTTCAAGTGCAATTCAGGCACAGTTCTCCAAGTTGAGCTTAGGCAGTTAGGTGCATTGCATGGATACCCTTTGGTCAAAAGCCTGCAGAAAATTGCAGGTTTTTGGTTTATAACAATGGTGTCAATATTAAATTAGTGTACTCTAGATCCACATATGGATAAAGAAAAACCACTTGCTTTGCAGAGATCCAGGCTGTCAAATCAGAAGAATTTCATGAATAACATTGAAAGGTTCCAGAATATGGCAAGGAAAGAGGAGATTCTAGAGAGCAAAAACAGAACAACATAAGTTGAAGAAACAGAATGACCGACTATTGTTTATCTACAGTGTGTCTGAATCTGAATGCATAACACTGAAGCTGGCCATGCTTTCAAGTTCTGATTTCTTCTTATAAACAAGGTGACAGAATACTCTGTCAGTATATTTACGATAGTGAGGCAGAGACTAAATGATAGAAGCACATGTATTTGATTACAGAAAATGGGAATAATCCCCAAATATAATAGTAATCAGATTCTCAGATTAACAGAAACATAACTCTCAGAAACTAGACTAGCTCCGAGGGGCTAGTTCTCCCTAACTCACCACTATAATTTTTTGTGATCACCCTTCCTCTCTCCCTTTCCCTTATTCTAACTAATCTTTTCTCTTCACTCTCACCTGCCAGGCTGCCACATCAGCGATCTGTTATGCCCAACTCTATCAGCACAACTATTTTCCATGGATTAATCTACTACATCCCTTGTACTCCTTGGTTCCTACATCTTAGTCCTGGAGGGTCTATCATTGTCACTCTGGAAATCCATTCAGACATTTGACGCAGAAATAGGATGTCTAACCTGGGGATGGTGAGAATTGCCACAGTAATCTATAATAAGTGAAATATAACCTCCTTCACAAATGCCAGCAACACATTCACCTGCCTAATAAACTGTATAGGAACATATATAGATGGTATGTTAGTTAAATTGAGGACGGAATTGAGGCTCTTCGTTAATGTTAAAGGAAATAAAGCATTTATTGAGGTCTTCATTATTTTAAGAAAAATGTTAACATCAACCCTTAACATTGATTTTAAGTATCTAAAACTAGTAAATATTTATTAGGAAAACACGTACTAGTTACACTTTAATATTTTCAATGTAATAAATGCTCTATTTTCCATTAAAAAATTAGCTCTAAGGGTTAATGTTAGCAAAACCAAAAATTTAGTAGTTAAGCTTCCTCCTTAACCTGTCATGCATGATCATGGCTGTTAGGAATAATGTAAAAAGGGTAATTTTGTAAATAAAGAAAGTATTTAAGTAATCATTTAATTAGCATGATTCAAAGTAACTGCAAATCATGTATTTATTATGTATTTAATGCGCTCTCATTATAAATAATTAGCCCCTTCATGTATTGAGACACAGATTCATGCTATTCCTCTTGTTTCCCTCATCTCTCTCAACAATGGCATTATAACCAAATTTTACAGTAGTCATGTAGAAGATTAAATAATAATGGCAGTATCATAGCTAATTCAAAACATATTTGGTTAATCTTCAACCACATACAAGTTCGTCCAGGGAAACAGCCTTGATAGAATGATGTGCTTTGAGACCAATCCGCACAATTTTAGGGCAATATGCACGGTCATTTTCATCGTGTACACCTGAGAACATCCATGAACAATAATTAAAAACTAAATATGCAACCATAATATAGCATCGATATTAGAAATTCTTAAAAGAAAAAAATAATAAGAAAAAAGCATAAGAGCAGCTAGGTCAACTGCAGTCTGCTTATAATGTGAAACAGTTAATTACAATGTCCCAGTTGGACTCAACCCCTACCACAAAATAACACCATCACTAGCATCGAAACAGAAAACTAAGAGGGATGAATATCATTATGCATTCAATGCATCATATTTTAATTTATAAATAAGAAAATTTGTACTCTGCAAGCTTCAGAACTTTCAGCATTACAATTTAATACAAAATTACTTCCAGTTTACTAATAACAAATTTTGCTTGCTATCTAAACAAATAGTCCACTGCACTCTTTTACACCAGTAGCTTTGTCACATCATGCAAGCAAATGTAAAGCAAAAAGCTTTTCCCCAAATAAATGCATTAAAGAAACTTCATACCTCCATTGAGAACCCGCAAGACAATCTCGTCAAGGGCAGAGTTTGATGGGGCGCATACTAGCACCCTTACACGATACTTACGATTTGAAGTTACAGCTTCAGGTTTCTGATAAAACCAATAATTAGAAGATATGATTTTGTAAAATCAACAATCTCAACCAATGAAAATAAGTACTTACTAATTCATTTCCAGTAGTTGGGAAAAAACCATCATCACCATCTTTCGGCATCAAACTATCCCTTGGATTGATACTGTTAAGCCATGGACATGCCAGTCCCCAATGTCTTTGTCTGCCACAGGAAAAGGGAATTAAAAAAATCATAAAAAATCTTCTAGCAAGATAAATTATGAAAAGTGCATTCTACTGATAAAGCTGGTATAATAACCATATTTGTTCTATTATGGTTGTTCTTGGGGCAGAACTGGTCAACATCCCAAATTGATTATTAAATGAACAAGACTAGATGGTCTGGTGGTATAACACAAGCTGAGAAGGTGAAATTAATCGACAAGGTGATTACTAATACTGAGTATACAATTTAAAAACTAACTATTGCAAGGCATTTGTGCAACATTGTCTAATCAAATTGAATTATTCTTAAATTCCAACAAGACTAGGAATGAAAGAAATATGCAAGGGATGATAAGGAGGCCAAAATCAACTTTATTAGTTTGAAGTGCACTCTGCTATGGACTGTCATTCTTAACCTCGACCAAATAAAGCTGAGCTATCAGGTCCTAATACATCAACCATCTACAATTGTACTTTAATCAGGATCTCTTATTAAATGAAAATCTAATTATGATTCACCAGTTATGAATACTCTAATCCAAATACTTTCTCTTGGAAAATTCTAAAGTACACCAAATCCAGTCAATTTGCTCTCCCTTATCATCCTTTAACAACAAAGTTAACAAATAAGTAATTGCCCAGACTCTTGCCTGTATAATCCATGAGTTTGGAAACTGTGCCCTTAAGCTTTAAACAATCCTCTTGGCTTCATACAATGCCAATGTAAAGTTGAACCAATTTATGTCAAGAGAAACCAAGAAAATGTGCACCTAATTACAGCTAGTTTCTTGATGTTTATGACAAATCTCAGTTTTTACCCTTACCATTCCACTTCTAATTTGATTCAAAACAATTTAAATATGAACTATGTCTACTGGAAGATAGCCCTAGAGGGATAAGGCTTGTTGTTGTTGTTGTACTAGAAGATAAGCACAGCCAGAGACTTAGAGAGAAAACATGTATAACACAAGAAGAAGAAACCAATAATGAAAAGAACAAAGAAAATATTTTAAAAGATGTCCCACCTGGGGAATAAAAGAACCTCATACCAGAATCACATGAAAAAACAACATCCATGTCATAAAATTTTCTTGAACAAGTGAAACCTAGATATTCTCAAAGGGTAACTTACTTCTCCTCAATTGGTAATTGTGGCCCCTGCCTTAGCTCATAAGTCCTGCTTCATGGAATCAGATACAGAGAATTGTAAGGCAAAATTTTGACTATAAATTGCTTGGTAGAACCAAAAATTACTTCAAAATCTCGCCTCTACCAGGCACTCTCTTAACATAATGCTTGGCTCAGGATAACAAAATAAAGCAGAAACAGAATTATACACATAGAAGATCTAAAGACATTATTATACTTACTTTGAATGCACCCTTGTAGGAGTTGCATGCAAAATGGTACTTAGAATCCCAAGTATGGTTTGAGTCTTCCCAGTCCCTGGGGGCCCCTAAAAGGATTTGGTTAGACTCAATTACAATTATTTTAAAAGAAGGCAGATAAAAACCAAGATATATGTCTCATGCATATCTTGCAAGGGGATAATGAATGTCAGGTGGAATTTCCAAAAGCAAGTACATTATCAAGAAAGGACCTAGCTTCAGCAAAAAATCTACAAAGGACCTTGTGATATAAATCAACATCATAACCTATTTCTCTAGCAGTAATAAATTACAAACTCTGACCTGTTATAACTTGTACAGCAAGGAAAAAGAAAGAAATATTGAATTATATTACTAAGATTGAACACAGTTTTGTACCTAATGTAAGCACAGACTATTATCATGCAATACCAAAAATATTTGAGAGATCCTGGCAACTCTCCTACACAGACTTATTCACTTACAAAAGGACACCACAATTCTCCTAACTCTGACCTTAACAACAAGTAACTGTCTCCTAACAGCTTCCTAATTATGAGCTAACTGATTGTTTCTCTAGGTTGGGCCTTAACATTAACTGGCCCACTCTTCCTTTTCCTATAATGTACTCTTTCATTATGGGCTTATTTCTATCATGACCCAACAACTAAGCTTTGTATGATAAGTTAAACAAAACAGCAAAGGGTACATTAGATCACCTAGAACAAACTTTAAAGGAACTGAACCAGATCATGGACCAGTTCATGATTCAACCAGTCTAACTGATTAGTTTGTTTCTTATAACACTAAAAAAACCATCTCCTCAGGCTTTTGGGAGGTCAAGGAAAATCATGGAAAATTTTTTGCCCAAGATCAGAGAAAAAAGTGGCTGCATTTGAGCTTGAAATATCAAACATTACCTAAAACAAAAGACAAGTATGCAAAAGCATTAAAAAGTTTGCAGGAGAAGCAAGACTAGACATAGAGGCAAACCTGTATCAGGACAAAGGCTTTTGATGATAGACCAGCCTGCAACAGAAAATAAAATTTTATTGTGGAATAAATAAATGCTACATGAGCTTTGCATGCTTGGTTCCACTTATTTTTGAGAAATAATCACTTTTTGGCAACATCCCAAAAAAGCTTTTATCATCAGATGATTATTTCCTTTGTAAAATGCTCTCCCAAGTTCGAAAGATGCAAAATTATAAGAGAAATTTACACTATAAACATAAGACAGAATCAGTCACAAGTCAAGCAACAAAGAGAGAGAAAATGACAAAAGAATCTTTTATAAGAAAGTGAAGATCAATCAAAAAGCTTTTATTCCTATATATCATTTGAAGAATGATCAACAACTATCCCTTTGCCATAAATTTGGCCAACTCATTTTCAACCAATCCAAGAGTGTGTTTGGATGAGCTTTGAACTGAAAAAACTAAAATTTTGGTTGTTTTTTTTTTTTGGTAGCTAAATTTTTATGCTTTGGGAAAGAAGATCTTACAAAAGCTAATTTTGAGAAAAGGAAAAGTTGTTCAAGCATTAAAAAGTACTTCTAGAAGATTGCATCCAAATATAAAATGAGTTAGGATTTGTTAACACTAGGTGTCAAGTTTAAACACTTAAACCACTAAATAATTTTTCATAAAATACAAGATTAGACAATCCAACCGTTATTTTCATACAAAAACAAAATTAATAGGTATTTCATCGTATTATTTTATTTTAACAGGTATTGAGATTTTAAAATATAAATAATATCAAATTTAGATAATATTCCTATAAAGATATAAATTATGTGAAATTTGTAATATACATGATTAACAAGATAATATAAAATGATTCAAGTTTAGATTGGTCAATCTTGCATTAGTTATTAAGTAGTGTAAATATCTAAGTTTGACACCTGGTGTCAATGAATCATATATCATAAAATAGCTTTCACTTTTTACAGAAGTCCATTTTAAAAGGATTCATCAACAAAAAGACATATTCTCAAGCAAAAAAAAAAAAGGTTCATAAAACTAAAGAAAATGATAAAGAAGAAAGCATATATGATATGGGATAAATATACAGTGCAAGTTTCAATTTACTGTTTTTTGACTATAGGCAGTGTTCTGGAGGACATCTTTTCATTTGCTCTTGCATTTCTTAGTTTTTTCTTTCACTTCTAAATCAAAACAAAAACAAATTAATATGGGATTGAAATTGTGAAAGTCTAATTGTCTAAGCCTTTAAAAGTAACACGTACAAAAGAAAAGAAAAACAGTAGAAAAGAAGGAACATGGTCAAATTATTCAGAAAACATATAAACAAAAAAGAGAGAAATAGGACTCTGAATGATAATTTATGCATGATAAATTGATTGAAGTAATACATCCTGATTTTTAATTATTATATCCTTTAACTACATGTCAAACTCAAACTTCAAAATATAACATTTTAACTTATTAATTGCCAGAACCACATATTTATTCTTTCCAAACAACAAAAGTTAGCTAACAATGATACAAAGAGAAAGAACTTCCAAAGTAAAGACTTACTGTTATGGCCTCACGTTGGTACTGATTGAAAGTATTTTCAACATATTCCTTCAAAGGAATTGGGATTTTCCAACCCTCAACTTCTGTACCAAAATTCTCTCCAACTGCATTTACTATTAAATCCTTGTATGGGAGACAGCTTATAGTTCGTATAGCCAAATACTCACGCGCAATGGTAGATAAACTGCATACCTGCAGGATTTCCACATTGGCTCAAAGGCCAAACTAATTTATGAGAACCTTTTCTATTAAGAAAACAATAACGAAAAGCCTTTTACCTTCTTTTACAAACTCATAACAAAATCCATTACTCAAGAATGGAAGACCCCCCCCTCCCCAGTGTAAAAAGCACACGAGTGGTCTCACTTCAATAAAATTCATATGAAAATACATTTGATTGATTATCTATGATAGATGGAGTCTTCGACATTCTAAACAGTGATAAGGGGAAACAAGAAGACCATAAACATGGAAAACTACGTAAACTTCAGGAACTATACCGTATAGAACTAAACATGTGGGTAAACAGAAGAAAGATGAATTTCAGAAATTTTTCAAAAAGCAAACGTGGGGGAGACAGGTAATAAGAGTTCTGCATCAGACAATAACATAGGAGTAAACATGGAGTCACATTAAGTTTTTGAAACCATTGCTTTTAATATCATGGAAAAAAAACTGAGAATAACTATTAACTAGAACTGTAGAACATAAAGTGCTTTAAATGTTCAGAGATAGATGGGACATAATTATTGAACAACTTTGTTTGTGATGGAAGGAGATATTGGGAAATGGGAGGGACCATGTAATGACAGACATATGAAAAGGATAAGGGTGTGTGATTGTGAAACGTGAATTAAGGAGCAAAAGGAGAATGAAGGAGATGGAAGCAGAGAACGAGAGGCTGAAGAAGGAGTTGCAGGAACTGAAGCTTTGAATGGAAGAAGGGAAGAGAGAGAGTGAGAGGAAAATAAAGGCAAGATGTATAATATAATAATTCCTAAAAGAGCCTAGATATAATATTTCACCCGGGCAAGAATACAATATAAGATAGAACAAGTTACCTTCATAAAATACAACTGTCTCTCTGTCTCGCATATATGAGAACGCATGTTAAACAGCCTGGGGCAAGATTGTACATTATCTGTATTAAAATGGGAGAACTCTCCAGCAAGATAGAGTCTAACTCGAAGAAGTCTAGTTTCAGAAAATTTCCGTACGTGTTCCACCAAAGCAAATGCATACACAGTTGGAAATCTTTTGCTATCCAGAAACTGTGCAGTGACAAGTATTGACAGGTCAACAATAAAAAATAAATCTCAGTTCAAATAGGCAGACAATTCAAAGTTCAAACAATTCAGGGAAAATAATGCAACAAGAATACACGTATAAATGCAATATACAATAATATTACATAATAGCAGGATCAGCAAAGTCCAAAAACACACAATCTCTGATCATCAGTACCTTATCTTTTGAAAGAAGTAAAAGATCATTCTGCGATATTGATTCTCCCTCCTTGATTTCACAAGGAAATTCTATAAAATGAAAGTCATCCGCCTCACTCCAACTTTTTACCACTCCCAATTTCCATTCAGTCACTGCAGTAAGCCAAAAGATAAAGAGACCCCAGTCAAAATCCAAACTTTCAAACGTGGAATCAATACCCATCATTTAATTTTAAGATAGAATTTGAGAACCGCAACTGAAAAAGTTTTGATAGCCCTCAGAATCAGAGCAGAGCAATGTGCATGCATGGGGTAGCAATGACCACCCAATAAAAACACAATGCCATTAACAATTAACAAGAACCATATAGAAAAGGCTAAATATCCCTCCGAGACAACGGCATCAACAATAAACAATGCTAGTCTATAATAGTGATCATCCACTGAAACAAAAAGGCGCAAAATAGTTGAAATTAAAAGTACCCTCTTCCTCCTCTTTCTCCTTAATTATCTGGGATTTGGCTTCTTCAAAGACAAGGGGCTCGTAAGTGGCAATATAATCGTCAACGTCTTTGTATCGGGTCTTCACCTTCACGAGTCTCGACACAGCCTCCTCTCCCCCATTGTTCTTCTGCTTCTGAAAACACCAAATTTGAAAGAGTTGGTGAATTTTGGAATGACTAGTAAATGTTTTAAAAAACAAGAGTAAGGAATGAAATGAAATGCCTTGGATTCCTTGAGGAGACGAAAGTAGTCCCAACTAAGAATAATCTGATAGAAGCGGCGAATTACGGATTCTTCCTGCAGCTTTTCCTTTTCCACCGCCATAACGATAGAGAGGGAAAGGGAGAAACTGCAACAAGAGAATAGAGACAGGGACAGGGTTTTAGGACTAAGAACCCTCAAAGAAAACCCTCAAACCGCTGTTATAGTTCTAATTCTCAGTGTTTTTTCGTATTTTTACCGGGATATTTAAGAGTGAATTAATGCGTAAATTTTATGTAATTCAACTTTGTTCTCTAAAAAGTGTAATTTTTAATAGAATTTAATTAATAATTTTTTACTGATATGCCATTTTAATATAAAATTTTATACGCTATTATTTAAATAAAATTTTTAATTAATTTAAAATTTTATTCTTCTTTTTATTAAAGAAAAATGCATGAAATAACCTTTTAAGGTGTATAAATTATATAATATAACTTTTTTAAGTATTTAATATAATTGTATTTAATATAACTATTTTTTAATATATTTACGATGATATTTAACAAATTTTAATCAATAAATAAAAATAAATCATTAATATTTTTTGTATTATTTATGCTTTATGCTGTAAGACTAATAAATTTTTGATTTTGTATTTGCTATTTTATACTTTGTATATTGTGCTTCTTTATAATAAAAATGTTCTTTAATGATTTTTTAAATTAAATAAATTATAAAAATTGACTTGTAGAAATAAAAAGTTCAAACTTTTTTAACTTTTACTTTTCCTTCAATTTAAATTTTAAATGTTTTTCCTTCCATTCACTTTTCTTTCACTGAAACCAATGGAGGATAAGTGATAAAATGCATCATTGATTAAAAAACTAGTTATTAAAATTTTAACAAATTCATAACCTACCACAAATGTACATGTATTTTATTGTAAATAATAATATTTTATTAAAAAATAATGATTATATCTGCATTTATTCTCTAAACTGCATCCACTTATTTTTCTTTTCCATTTTTTTTCAATTTCTTCGGTGGCATTCAATAAAAAACTGACCTATGCTCCCAAACTAACACCCAAAGGCTCCAACCTCAGTTATGGTTTTGTTGAAAGGAACATGGCTTCCACAACTCATTCACTGAGTCACTTCTATGCAACATATGTGACCAAATGGTCCACTACTTGTCCTCTTACTCTAACCCTAACAAAAAAAGCCTAAGTACACGTCCTTTTCTGATTGGCATTCCTAAACAATAATGCTTAGGGATATTTTAGAAATCAAAGGTCTAAAGTTTTTTTCTCATCTGATTTTTCTGTCCTTCTTAACTATGGTGTAAAATTATAAAATTATATAAATGACCATTTCTTTTATTAAATAATTGAATTTTGTAAGGAATGTAATGTAATATTTTTTGTATTGTTAGTGACAAGTGTTAATTGTGATTGTGATATTGACCACTTTAACCTCACGCAAAAAAATATGATTGCAATGTTTTGCTGTAGAATCTCAAAATTTTAAAGTAAAAATATGTTCTGAGTTTTAAATGTATACTGTTAATTAAGATTAAAAAAGCATTGATCATAATATACGTAATATATCTTCCTTCTAACTAATTTTTTACTTTTAATTGCTGATAATTGAATTTATGTATTAGTTAATTGTATAAAACTGTGCTATTAAAAATAATATATTTAAATTAGGAGAATTTGTTTATTTTATTCATTATTTTTCTCAAATATTGAAAATAGTGTCAATGCAAACTTTTTATATTTAAAAAATATATATTTTTAGTACAATAATGAAAAATAAAAGAATTAAAAGGAAAAACTGTAGTTTTAGCAAAATTACCAAAAAATCAAGAATAATAATTAAATAAAAATGTAATTTAATGGCTTTGGTCAACTACGAGCAAGGTTTATAAAATTGCACTGAATCTCAGACCGTGATAGTTAAATATATACTTTTTATTTTATATAAAATATTATATTATAAATTAATACAATAAAATAATTTTAATTTTATGTTAATTAATTTATATCATATTTAATAATAAACATAAGAGTTTTATATTTATTATATAAAATATTTTTTATATTAAATTAAGTTTTTATTATGTTTAAAAATTTAATGTAAAATATATTAAAATGTGCTTATCTTAACTAACTACAACTTATGAAACAGTGGTTAAAAGCTTGGGTATTAACTCAAAGTATTCGTATAATTCAAAAAATAAGAGGAATAAAAATATGTAATTAAAATTTGAGGCAGTAAAATAAAACATGTACAAAAGTTGGGTGACAAGAAATTTACTTAATTAAAAAAAATGATAAGTAAAATCATAAAATGAAAAATTGAGGAATTAAAATAAAATAAACGACTAAAATGTAATTAAAGTGCTATATATATGTATATATTTAAATGCTTTTATGTAATTTTATTATTATTTAACAATTAATTTTATATTTTTGAATACTTTAAAATCAATAGTATTTTGGTATTATTTTTATGTTAAATTCTCATTTTTTTCCCTACCACTTCAGGGCCGTTTAGTTTCATAAAATGTTTTCTGTTTTATTTTTTTCTTGATTTCAAACATTTATTCATGGAATATTGAAAATAATTTCTTTTACTTTCACGTTTATTTGTACAAATCTCAAAATGAAATAGAATGAAAAAAAAAGTAACAATTATGTAATTAAAAGTAAAAATAGAGAATAAAAATACAAAAAAATTTCACGTATTAAATAACTGTTAAATAAATATAAATAATTAATAATTAAAAAATAAAATTCTATAACTATGAAATATATTACATTATAAAAAACAAAAGACATAAAAATTGATAATTTTATACGATTATAAAACTAATAAAATATAATACACTAATAAAAATTTTATCACTTATAATATATATTTTTATTATTATATTAGAAAATGTAAATATCAGAAAGTGCAAACATTTCATGTATATGGTAATGTAATAGATTTTGTAACATAATTTGTGATTGTTGTTATACGTGTTATTAAATGATGTATGAGTCAATTTTAAGATATTTTGACTAAATGCTGCGGTCTACGTTGGTGGTTTTTCTCTTCGGCCTTACTCGTTGTTTCTTTCGATTGTAATAACAAAAACACTTCCACTCAGCGAAAAATATTACAAGTTGAAGTTAAAAATGTTAAAAAGACTTTACTTAAAAAATACAAAGATTTAATTAACTTAATTTAATACACCCAGAATACTGTATGAGTTAATTTTTCTTAAGCAAATACTAATTATTAAATAAATTTTCAACATGAAGATTAATCAAATTTAACTTCTCTAAAAAAAGTGTAAAATAAAAAAAAATATTACAGATCTTTCTTTCTTTTTTTTTGCTAATATATTACAGATCTTTTAATTGTTAAGTTGAAGTTAATAACATTTATAAAATACTTAGATTTAAATCAAATGTGAATCTTCACCAATTACTATTTTACATGTTTTTTTCCCCTCAATTTATAGACGATATTTTTCATAAATTACTCGGTACATTCATAAAAAAAAAATAAAAAAATCTCAAAATTCAATCGAAGTAACATTTGTCATTATTATATGGAAAAATATTCAATAATGTTTCAACATAATTTTACTTTCAGTTTGCTTTTGTAATTTTAGTTTTATTTTATTCTGTGATTTTTATTAAAAAATAGTTTTACTGCATATCCACAAACTGACAATAAGAATAAATACATAAAAAAATATTTTAAAAAAATTATTAGTTCTGTTGTATAAATTATAGAGAAAAAACAAACATCTCAAATTAGTTTATTTAATACTAAAAAAATTAATACACTTCCGTTAATGTGTTATCTTTTCATAAATTATATTTTATCCTTCAAACAAAAACGTTCATTTATCTCATTATATTTTTTACAAGTGTTTATTTGAATGCTTTTTTTTTTTCACTTTGTCTTTTATAATCTTTTCTCATCATTAAATTTTATATTTTAAATCATATGAAGACCCGCAAACTCTTTGTTAAAAACTTTTTTTTCTTTTTATTATTTATCTTTCTCCCCTTTAGTATCATTTTTCTCTCTTTTTGTCTAATCACGACTCTTTACTCATCCTTAAAAATGTATATTTCAAACTCTATGAATATTCACAAAATTCTTTTATAATGTTTTTTTCTTATTTTATTTTATAATGTCTTCCTTTAATATTCCCATTTTCTTATTTCACACCTCTCTCCCCAATAATAAACTTCAAATTTACATCTCTTATCTTCCATTCTCTAACTTTGCAAGTTAGTTTAATGGTTCTACATTATTAGTATGTTTGTGACCTTGAAAATCACAAAGTTCCGAGCAAATTTTCATGTAAAAAATTGGATTATATTATTTATTATAATACAATATTTAAATAATTCACTTAATTAATCTTAAAAATTATTAAAAAAAATTAATAATATTTCAACGAGATTTAATAGTATTTTAACAAAGATTAATTTAAGATAAAAAAAAATTAGAGAACTAGATTGAATAAAAAATAATTAAAGAACAAGTTTCAAACTAAAAAAAAGTTAAAAAAAACCATATTATTATTTTGTCAATTGTTCATTATTAAATTATTTGTATTTTTCTTATAAAATCAATTGAACTTAATTTCTTTTTGTTATCGTAGATATTGTTTTTATCTTATATATCATTGTCGCTAATTTAGGTTTTTAATCTTAGATGAATTACTTCTTAAATCTGGTAAATTTTTTGGCGTTCATTGTATACTTTTCTCCCTCTTTATTCAAAGATAGAGATTCATTTACTCTAAGGAATTTTTTTTATTAACTTACTCTTTTTAATTATGATAAAATTAATATCTAACTTTATATTTTATTTTGCTTTAATCTTTTAACTTTTAAATACGTTTTCAATAAGTTAATTTTTTTAAGAACGTTAAGCTCTGTTAATTTTTGTAGAACATTTTTCATACACATTTTTTTTCTTCTTCTGTTACTTCATACTTGTCTTTTTCTTTTTCTTTTTTTCCTTTTAACTTTAATAATTATAATGTTATTAATTATTAAATGTGACTCAATAGAAAAACACCTTAACTCCCAAATAAAACATGTTTGAGCACATGTGAAGCTACCATAAACAACTA